GAATTGAACCATCCACCATGCCCAGCAGATTTTGAGAAACTAGAAAAGACTCGAACTGGGTGCGCCATGTACTATAATCCTCAACATTCTGCAGCCTTGTTGTGACAATATTCGTAACCTTTGTGGCAACGTGAGATAAAGTTTGTGCCAGATCTGCCATAGGTGTATCCGAAACTGCAGATGGGCCAATCCGGGTGACTGGGACAGAAGATGAGACCCTAGGGGACCCAACAAAAGTCGCTCCTGAGAATTGAACCACCGGCGGAGCAGAGAAGGACGGTGGCGGACCCAGAGAGAGCTGCAGCACGGGAGAAGGCGCTGACCATGAGAAAACAAGGGGTAGAGTCTGGAACAACGCATGGTTGGGAGATGAGACCCTCGCCGGCGAAGCGAAGGATGACGCCGAGATTGCTACAGTGCTCGGCAGAAGGACGGAAGGCTGCAGTCCTGATGACGAAGACGCGCCGACCGATGATGAGAGAACTGAGGCGTTGATACTTGCGCTAGCCAGGGTGGAAGTCATGACGGAAGTAGAAACAATATCTGCGGCTGAGGTCACGGCAGCAAGGTCGTGAGCGACTATCCCAGGAGATTGACTAAGAAAAGAAAATTTAGGTTTTCGTGGCTCGTGATACCATGTGAAACTATGGAACAGGTTACCCCGTTAGGAGCCCTGGTAGGTCTATTTATATTAGAGAATAATGTTTAAAATACATATATGTCCTTAGTCTATTAGTTTTTTCTTATTTTTCGATGACTAAACAAACACAAGTAGAGTGCAACCCAATCAAATATATACTCCTTCAATATTATAGTTTGCTACTATACATCTAATCTAACATCTAACATCTAACAATAATATAACTATGAATGAGGGTTGGTGCCCCAAAATTGTGTCAATACACTTAATGCATAAGAAGTTGTACATTATTAGTAGAAGATGGAACCGTATTTTTTTCATTAACTGATTTACCCTTACGGTCCCATAACGTTTTAAACTTTCGTTAACACATAAAGTGAGCGATCTTACATTTGCCGGATGAAGCTTGACTCGGGTAGGGACTGCCAAGTCGCTGCTTCATTAAATGCGAAGCTGATCAATAGCCTAGAGAAAATGAAAGGATCCCATCTATACTAAGCTCAAAACGGCCAAGCCCAGGCCATGACGCCCATGCCACTGAACTTTTTTTTACTTGTATTTTATTTCTTCTATTATTCTTTTGCCTTTTTAAACTTGTTATTGTATAATATGGAGTATCACTAATGATATACTTCTCATTCACTTTATAATTTACACCCATGTCCATAATAATTTACGATTTTACAATTATTGTTTTTTCTTGACATATACTCAAATTTCATTTAATTTTATGCATTAATATTAATCTTCTTGTACTTTCTAAATTTATAAATTTCATTTTTTGAAAAAAATATATTGCTACAATTACGGATTATATATGCTCAATATAAGAATGTTTCACCTGTGCCAGTCCTACCTAAACTCAGGCCTGAGTCGAGCTTCATAAAATGGGCCCCATGCATAGTGTTTTTTATCATATAAATTCACTAAAATTGAATGGTTAAATATCATAAAAACGCAATCTTTCATTAAAAGTCTTCCATTATCACACAATGACAAAGAATGCATTAAAAAATACTTAAGTAAAACCTGTCAAAAAAGTTTTAGATACATAATTTAGTGGAATCCTCAATAATATATACTATTAATTTTCTCTACAAATCAGCCCTCGAACTAACTTAAAAAGTGCAAATCATCGGTCCCCTTATATAAGAGGTTATGTTTGACCGTCACCATTTGGGGTGGTTTCCAGTGTAACTTTGTGATGAAAGTTTTTTAGCATCTTCTTCATTAAGTTTAGTTTATCCATACCAAATTTCAGCTAAAAATTCAACCAATAAGACAGTCAAATGATTTTCTGAAATATACTGCGTTGTTTAACTGCACAGTTATCTTCAAAAATTCATTTGACTGCCTTCCCGATTAAATTTTCTACCGAAATTTGATATGGGTAAATTAGACTTAATGAAAAAATTTTTTTAAAAAAAGCATCAAAAAATTATAACGGGAACTGCCCCAAATGGCGACGCCCTTGGAAAATACATAGGTACAATAATAGTTATGTTTAAAAAAGTATGGGCCCCTAATTTTTTTATTTTTTGGGGGCCCTGAGGCTTGGGCCTCTCCCGCCTAACATAAGGCACGGGCGTATTCCTATCTAAGGTCAATGCTACATAGCTAAAAACATGACTTAACTGTAATCTTTTTTTTACTTCAGACACATATGATTATAAACTTGTCAGGAATGTGAAATATTTATTACTCCCTCCGTCCCATGGAGAAGTTCCCAATTTCCTTATTTGGATGTCCCAAAAGAAACTTCCCATTTCCCTAAATGGAAAGTTATCCTACATTAAAACAGTGCTAAACAGTGCCAAACAGTGCCAAACAGTGTCGAAACAGTGCCAAACAGTGTCGAAACAGTGCAAAACAGTAAAGTTTACCCCTCAGTAACTTTATTTCCTAAAAATGTGTCAAAGTCAACGCAGGAACTTCTCCCTGGGACGGAGGGAGTATAAAACTGGTTTGTTCATTTTTTCCTCAAGGGGGCGTCTGGGAGAGGGGTGCTGAGGGTTGGGGGGATGGAGTAATCAGGGCTGAAACTCACTCCGATCCATTGAGTTTCGAATTTGAGACCTCCAGTAAGGGAGCGCGACTCGGCGACTAGCTGAGTTGGACTGCTTCCTCCTGATTTGTGCATAACTATATGCATTTGGATGACATTTACATTGATATTCTTAATGTATTTCTAAAAAATGATTATGGATGAACCACATAATCACATATTTTCCACACAATAATTGGTTGACAAGGAATATAATTATTCTGACAAATTTTAAAATACATTTAGTATCATAATATGTAAAATTTCATTAAGGATGTTTTTACTTGGACTGTAATTTGTCTTAGACTAGATCAGACCAGACTAGACAAGACTTGGATAGTTATGAAAATACAAAGAAATCAGACCGGATCGGACCAGACCAGTAAATTACAGTCCAAGTAAAAACATCCTAACTATTTACAAAACTCTCCTAACAACTTAGCATATAAACCTTTTTTTATAAAAGACAACATTATTTTATTATTGGGCAAACACTCTCGCGTCTTGCGCGAGTAATCGCTAGTTGACATGATATTTAGGGGGAAAAAACAGGAATAATCAATAATGCAGAAGAAGTAGAAAAAAATAATGAAAAGGTATAAAAGAGAGGATGAAAAGATAAAAAAAAAAAAGTAAAAATAGTAAAAAAATTTTAAAGGAAAACTTATCAAAATGGAAATTGTGATAAACATCAAAGGCTAAAGAGTCAAATCTCTTGTACGTGTCAATAATGCTCAATTCGCCCCTTGAACTAAAAAAAACTTAGATTAACACCCTGAATTCGATAAAAAGATTCAAATTTCACTTTTTTGCATTTAAGGTCTAGTTAGCGCCATGCTACCCAATAATGTACCCACTGTGCATATGAGGTGACAACCCAAGGGATCAAGTAATCCCCCGAACATGATCTAAATTGTTAAACTCACCCCTCAACCATTAAACGATGTCAAAATTAAAAAGACAAAATAAAATATAAAATTCCATTCAAAAATATAAAAATATGAATATGAAATACTTATATTTTGCAGTCAATTCATAATAACAAAATAAAATACAAACTAAAAGAAATTATTTGACATTATTTCCGAATCTTTTAGTTATATTTCATATAAAAACTTCTATATATCTTATTTTATTTTTATAATTAGTACCCTTTGAAAAAATATATTTACATCAAAATTAAATACTTTGAATATATTTATTAAACAAATTAAAATATGAAATGAGGTAAACAAATGGAGCATGTTATCATAATATAAATTATTCAAGAAAAACATAAAATTATGTTTTATATTAAATATATCATATACATAGTATATTATATAAAATAAAATTTTAAATATGGTTCGTTATAATCTATTGTTTATTTTCTTATATAAAATATAGATATAAAATGTGGAAACAAAGTTAAAAAATTTCTTTAATTTTACATTTTTATTTTCTATTATTAAGTTACCACAAAATAAATATTTCATATCTAGATTTTATACTTTCCACTTTTATTTTATTTTAAACTTGTTTTTTCTCCTTCTTTATTTTAAATTTTACATAATTTGACACTTTTTAATGGTTGATGAGGTGAATTGAATAATACGCGCGGTCACGTTTAGGGGCTTATATGAGACCTTAACTCCTTAAGTTTCCACGTCAGATGTAAAGTTGTCACCTTACTGAGTGCTGAGGCGGTGATCGGATCGTCATTTCCAAAAAATAAATTTAAATTCTTTTTATCTAGTTCAGGCCTCGGGTGTCAATTGAAGTATTTTTCGTTGAGATGATTAATTAAGCATTCTGATTGTGTACATGTATCTATTTGACCTTCTAGTCAAAATTAAAATACATTCAAAAAAATTAAGGAAAATGTAGCAAACTAAAATTGATATGTTAAACACATTAATATGTTCACTTATTTACTCGTCCAGCCAAATTGAACATAAAATGCTTATCTATTCACGTTCGTTTGATTATTGTATTCATAATTTCATATACGTGTTCGTTTAACTTCATTAATCTTGCTAATGAATAATAATAATAATAATAATAATAATAATAATAATAATAATAATAATAATGTTGGGATATATTATCCCAGCCTATTACTGTTCATGAGTCCAAGGCTTTACGTAGTACGGGGCCCGAGCAGCTAGGCCCATTTCGGCCCATCCGGCCCACTTTAGCCATTTGGGCCCACTCTGGCCCGTTTGGCCCATTAGGGTGGAGAGCCCCTTCTCCCCTTCCCCTATTTTTAGGAGGCTTCCCTCCATGTTTTAGGGAGGCTTTTCCTTAGCTTCTTCTTCCTTCTTTCTCTCTAGCTAGCTCAATACTCCATAAATGGAGCTCAAAATGTACTATGTAATGGTGAGGAGAGACTAATGAGAATGAGAAGGCTTGGACATTAGCCTAAAAAGTCCCGTGGTTTTCTCCCTTTCGAGTTTCCACGTAAAAACTGAGTGTTCATACATATATTTACTATATCGTGTTGGATTAAACTCAACACTGGCGCCGTCTGTGGGAAACTGTCCAAAAAGATTCGTGTGTTCTACTGTTCTTGAGTTTCTACAAAAAAAAAATCATACGAAATATACTGATTCCGGAAAAAAAAAAAATGATTCTGGAGCAAACATGAAGAAAAACGAAGGAAATATGCTTCTGGGAAGTAAGGGAGCTACGAAATCTGGAGGATGACATTTGGATTTTTCCAGATCCGGATTGGGGGTCGCCGGAGCCGTCGCCACCTTTCCCACCGCGGTGGACCCTCCGGCGAGTTCATCCACACCAGACAAAGACCTGCTGCAGCATCCCTGGACCTGGTCTCGTCATCTCGGTCCCAGGAGAGCTCCGCCGTAGCAGCACTGTTCATCGGACGTAGCTGGGTCCTCCGACGGGAACGCAGCACCGTCTTGCACCGCCAGCTGCATGCCGCTGCTCAGCCCCCAACCTCTGGTAATGCGACGGGGTTTTTTAAGCTGAGGCTTCCCCGGGCTCTGCCATGGATGGCTGCTTGGAGCTCAGGAAGGGTATGCTTCGGAGTTCGGCCGATCTCCACCGTGGGCTAGCTTTTCCAGCCTCCCTCGCCCTGCTGTAGCTTTCGTCGCCACCAGCCAGCAACTGACCTGCACTGATTGACCTTGGTGGGATGTTTCGTCTGCCTCTCCACCAGATGCTCTTTACTTGACTGGGAGCAGACCACGTCTCCAAGATTAGAGCCAAAGAAGATGGGGCCAAAACTTCTAGGAGAATTTTGACAAAGTCAAAATTGAGGAATTCCAGCAGCCTATGCCGAAGTCTTGCCCCTCGGTCAAAGATGTGGGGGCCAGCTGGTCCCTTAAGTTGACTAAGTCCAATTTAAAAGGGGAGCAGATCTGACTTCACGAGCTGCCTGGCCGAGCGTCCCTTTCCAAAAGCTGAGTACTCTTTGCCTATGCTTTTAGTTGAAATGCTATGATTTTTAGTTAAAATGCTTCGTATCTATACTAGTATTGTTATTGGTTAAATTATTTTATCACCATTATTTATTAGGGATTAGAATCTCCCAAAATTAAATAATGTCGAGCAAAGCTCAGATGAGTAAAGCTCTAGTGATAATTAATTCCATCGTCATTAAAATTGATGACTGGTTGTTGTGAGCCTGTGGGCCCGCTCCTGATCGGCTTTAATTAGCGAACGGAGTATACCTGAATGGCCTTTGATAGGATAATATCATTGTTATTACCTGTTACACCACTATTATTTATTAGGGATAAAAATGTCCCGAATTAAATAATGTGGAGCGGAGCTCTAGTGATGGTTGGTTCAGCCAACATTTTATTGAATATTTAATTTCTTGTGGGCCTGTTGGCCCACTCTCGATCAGCTCGATTAAGCGATCCGAGCGTCTCCAGTAGGGCGACACCCCGACGACGCATTTTAATTTGAGGGTTGCACATTAGTCCGCACGGCACTACGTGCCCGATCGACGATCGTACCCCGGTATCATTTACGCCATTAGGCGCGAAATGACTATTGCCAAACGTGGCCTGTGGGGCCCGAGGGCACCAAAGAGCCCAACCTCCTTTTTCTGAGGGCAGTGCGACCAACTTGGGTCTGAGTTTGAAAACTCACGAACCGATGAATATCTCTATGTGACGTTCGGCGGGCTGCTGATTGGCCCCGCCGCGAGCTGCTACGTCCATTAATCCCGCACGATGTGCCGGGCCGAGGGTCACGATGACCCAGAGGCCGGTAATCGTGGGTGTTAGAGAGAAGGCCATGCAGATGGTTATGTGTGCATATTTATTGTCGGGCCGTGCGGCCCGTTATCATGCTTATTGCGCAGCTGAAGCCACTCAACGCGAAAGAGACACGATGATTAAAAGACACTCGGCCCGAATCTTGAAGACGTTCAGGGCCAGCTAAAGTGGAGACCATCATGGCTGAGAGCCGATGGACGAGCATCTCCACCCAGAGGTCGAGGGCCTAGAGGAGACCACCACGGTTGAGAACCGTGGGACGAGCATCTCCACCCCGGAGACCGATGGCCTAGGAAGAACACCTAGAGGTCGAGGGTCTAGAGGCGGATGCCATGACAGAGGACCGTGAGACGATCACCTGTCATTCAGAGGCCGAGGGCCTAGAAGAGATCGTCACGGCCGAGGGCCGTCTGACATCATCATATCACGACCGGTCTCTCGGCACGGTCTGATTATCATATTTGAAGACCGGCCTCGTCCCCGCCCCCGCAGACGAGGACCGTTGCTTGATTTTCTCAGATCGGCCGCTCATTGCCGACACCATTATACCACGACCAGCCTCTCGGCTCGGCGTGCTTATCTTTTGAAGACCGGACTCGTCCCCGCTCCTCGCGGATGAGGGCCGCTCTTGACTCTTGTAGGTCGGCCCCTCATTGCCGACATTGTCACATCATGTTCGGCCTCTCATTGCCGACACCATTATACCACGACCAGCCTCTCGGCTCGGCGTGCTTATCTTTTGAAGACCGGACTCGTCCCCGCTCCTCGCGGATGAGGGCCGCTCTTGACTCTTGTAGGTCGGCCCCTCATTGCCGACATTGTCACATCATGTTCGGCCTCTCATTGCCGACACCGTTATACCACGACCAGCCTCTCGGCTCGGCGTGCTTATCTTTTGAAGACCGGCCTCGTCCCCGCCCTCGCGGACGAGGACCGTTGCTTGATTTTCTCAGAACGGCCACTCATTGCCGAGACCATTATACCACGACCGGCCTCTCGGCTCGGCGTGCTTATCTTTTGAAGACCGGCCTCGTCCCCGCCCCGCGGACGAGGACCGTTGATTGATTTTCTCAGATCGGCCTCTCATTGCCGACACTGTCATATCATGTTCGGCCCCCCCCCGGCCCGGCGTGTTTATCTTTTGAAGACCGGCCTCGTCCCCGCCCCCGCGGACGAGGACCGTTGCTTGATTTTCTCAGATCGGCCGCTCATTGCCGACACCATTATACCACGACCAGCCTCTCGGCTCGGCGTGCTTATCTTTTGAAGACCGGACTCGTCCCCGCTCCTCGCGGATGAGGGCCGCTCTTGACTCTTGTAGGTCGGCCCCTCATTGCCGACATTGTCACATCATGTTCGGCCTCTCATTGCCGACACCGTTATACTACGACCAGCCTCTCGGCTCGGCGTGCTTATCTTTTGAAGACCGGACTCGTCCCCGCTCCTCGCGGATGAGGGCCGCTGCTTGACTCTTGTAGGTCGGCCCCTCATTGCCGACATTGTCACATCATGTTCGGCCTCTCATCGCCGACATCATCATACCACGACCGGCCTCTCGGCTTGGCGTGCTTATCTTTTTAAGACCGGCCTCGTCCCCGCCACATCGCGGACGAGGACTGTTGTTTGATTCTTTCAGGTCGGCCTCTCACTGCCGACACTATCATGTTATGTATGGCCTCCCGGCACGACATATTATCTTTTGAAGACCGGTTTCATCCCCGCGCTGCGTTGGATGAGAGCCGTTGCTCGGATATATCGGCCTGACCGGACACTATTACCATCTCCTCATCAGGACCGACTGCTCAGCGACATTATGATCATTGTTTGTCGGCTCCCAATGCCGACCCTCATGAGTTTGCGATCGGGCTCACGATTCCCCTCCAGGAGGGTGACCATCGCCTTCGCATGACGACCAGCATCTCCATCGCCTCGTCATTATATTCGTTCGCTATGCCACCACCATTATGCGTGACATCCCGTGATCCCTGCGAGTTTCTTGGATACCGAATGTCTTCTTCGATGTAGGAAGATCGGTAGGACCACGGACCAGGGACGGACAAAGAAGAGCTAGGGAATCTCGATGTAGATGAACCTGTTCCTCCTTGCGAGTTTCGCGGATACCGAACGTCTCTTCGAAGCAAGAGCGCCGGTAGGACCAAGAACCAAGGACGAACGAAGAATATAGATTGCCTCCCTCAAACAAAAAAAAAAGATGGGGAGAAGAGGAGGGTAGCTCCTATGTGGAAGGGAATCTTGCCCGGGTGTGCCAGATCTTCTCCCACCGCCGAAGACGAACGCCTCTCGATGTAGAGGTTAGTAGAGACGCGGAGGGGGCTAGACGAACCAAGGGAGCCTTGCCAAGATAAACCTGTTCATCCCACAATGACCATGGATCGATGGACGTGGGATAACAAAGACGGGAACCCGTGAGGGTAAACCAGTTCGTCCCTGCGAGTTCCTTGGGTACCGAACGTCTTCTTCGATGCAAGAGACGCCGGTAAGACTAAAAGGACCAGGGACGAACGAAAAAGGGGGAATCTCGATGTAGATATACCTGTTCCTCATTGCGATGTCCGCGGATACCGAACGTATCTTCGATGTAAGAACGCCGGTAGGACCAAGGACCAATGACGAACGAAGACTAAAAGACTCCAAAAAAAAAAAAGATGCTTGAAGAGCACGGAGCAAAGAATGATTTTATCCCTTGGCACTATTGGACGGGAAGTACAAACTGAAAAACATATGTAAAGAATAATTACAAAACTTAAGTACGAAGAATGAAGTGGCCGACGACGATCGGCTAAACATCAGGCTTTCTTTCGCCTTGAACGACGGATACCAGCTCCTCAGATCAGACAGAGGGACGGCGCCCAGGTCCACCCTCCCTCCCAGGATGAAGTCCTGACAGACGATCGGCTTCTCAGCGCCATCGTCTCTCTTTCACGTTCGGATCGCCCCATTCCCTCCAGGATGGCGACGAACGTCTTATGCAGTGCGATCGGCCCCTCAGCGCCATCGTACCTGGCCTCACGGTTCGGCTCGCCCATTCCCTCCAGGATGGCGACGACCGTCTTATGCAGTACGATCGGCCTCTCAGCGCCATCGTCTCTCTTTCACGTTCGGATCGCCCCATTCCCTCCAGGATGGCGACGAACGTCTTATGCAGTGCGATCGGCCCCTCAGCGCCATCGTACCTGGCCTCACGGTTCGGCTCGCCCATTCTCTCCAAGATGGCGACGACCGTCTTGTGCAGCACGATCGGCTTCTCAGCGCCATCGTCTCTCTTTCACGTTCGGATCGCCCCATTCCCTCCAGGATGGCGACGAACGTCTTATGCAGTGCGATCGGCCCCTCAGCGCCATCGTACCTGGCCTCACGGTTCGGCTCGCCCATTCTCTCCAAGATGGCGACGACCGTCTTGTGCAGCACGATCGGCTTCTCAGCGCCATCGTGTCTCTTTCACGTTCGGATCGCCCCATTCCCTCCAGGATGGCGACGAACGTCTTATGCAGTGCGATCGGCCCCTCAGCGCCATCGTACCTGGCCTCACGGTTCGGCTCGCCCATTCTCTCCAAGATGGCGACGACCGTCTTGTGCAGCACGATCGGCTTCTCAGCGCCATCGTGTCTCTTTCACGTTCGGATCGCCCCATTCCCTCCAGGATGGCGACGAACGTCTTATGCAGTGCCATCGGCCCCTCAGCGCCATCGTACCTGGCCTCACGGTTCGGCTCGCCCATTCCCTCCAGGATGGCGACGAACGTCTTATGTAGTGCGATCGGCCCCTCAGCGCCATCGTACCTGGCCTCACGGTTCGGCTCGCCCATTCCCTCCAGGATGGCGACGACCGTCTTATGCAGTACGATCGGCCTCTCAGCGCCATCGTCTCTCTTTCACGTTCGGATCGCCCCATTCCCTCCAGGATGGCGACGAATGTCTTATGCAGTGCGATCGGCCCCTCAGCGCCATCGTACCTGGCCTCACGGTTCGGCTCGCCCATTCTCTCCAAGATGGCGACGACCGTCTTGTGCAGCACGATCGGCTTCTCAGCGCTATCGTGTCTCTTTCACGTTCGGATCGCCCCATTCCCTCCAGGATGGCGACGAATGTCTTATGCAGTGCGATCGGCCCCTCAGCGCCATCGTACCTGGCCTCACGGTTTGGCTCGCCCATTCTCTCCAAGATGGCGACGACCGTCTTGTGCAGCACGATCGGCTTCTCAGCGCCATCGTGTCTCTTTCACGTTCGGATCGCCCCATTCCCTCCAGGATGGCGACGAACGTCTTATGCAGTGCGATCGGCCCCTCAGCACCATCGTACCTGGCCTCACGGTTCGGCTCGCCCATTCCCTCCAGGATGGCGACGAACGTCTTATGCAGTGCGATCGGCCCCTCAACGCCATCGTACCTGGCCTCACGGTTCGGCTCGCCCATTCCCTCCAGGATGGCGACGACCGTCTTATGCGGTACGATCAGCCCCTCAGCGCCATCGTACCCAGCTCACGTTCAGCTCGTCCATCCCCTCCGGGGTGGCAACGAACGTCTTATGCATCACGATCGGCTTCTCAGCGCCATCGTGTCTCTTTCACGTTCGGATCGCCCCATTCCCTCCAGGATGGCGACGAACGTCTTATGCAGTGCGATCGGCCCCTCAGTGCCATCGTACCTGGCTTCACGGTTCGGCTCGCCCATTCCCTTCAGGATGGCGACGACCGTCTTGTGCAGCACGATCAGCGCCCCAGCGCCATCGCGTCTGGCTCACGTTAGGGTCGCCCATCCCTTTCAGGATGGCGACGAACGTCTCTTATGCAGCACGATCAGCGCCCCAGCGCCATCGTGTCTGGCTCACGTTAGGGTCGCCCATCCCTTTCAGGATGGCGGCGAACGTCTCTTATGCAGCACGATCAGCGCCCCAGCGCCATCGTGTCTGGCTCACGTTAGGGTCGCCCATCCCTTCCAGGATGGCGACGAACGTCTCTTGTGCAGCACGATCAGCGCCCCAGCGCCATCGCGTCTTGCTCACGTTAGGGTCGCCCATCCCTTTCAGGATGGCGGCGAACGTCTCTTGTGCAGCACGATCGGCTTCTCAGCGCCATCGTGTCTCTTTCACGTTCGGATCGCCCCATTCCCTCCCAGGATGGCGACGAACGTCCCTTATGCAGCACGATCAGCGCCCCAGCGCCATCGTGTCTGGCTCACGTTAGGGTCGCCCATCCCTTCCAGGATGGCGACGAACGTCTCTTATGCAGCACGATCAGCGCCCCAGCGCCATCGCGTCTGGCTCACGTTAGGGTCGCCCATCCCTACCAGGATGGCGACGAACGTCTCTTATGCAGCACGATCAGCGCCCCAGCGCCATCGCGTCTGGCTCGCGTTAGGGTCTCCCATCCCTTTCAGGATGGTGGCGAACGTCTCTTGTGCAGCACGATCAGCGCCCCAGCGCCATTGTGTCTGGCTCACGTTAGGGTCGCCCATCCCTTTCAGGATGGCGGCGAATGTCTCTTATGCAGCACGATCAGCGCCCCAGCGCCATCGTGTCTGGTTCACGTTAGGGTCGCCCATCCCTTTCAGGATGGCGGCGAACGTCTCTTATGCAGCACGATCAGCGCCCCAGCGCCTCGGCGCTGACATGCCCGGGTTATCGTTGAGAGCTACCGCTCCTATCACATCTTGCATTCCCTCTCTCATACATTGCACCCATACATTACATGCATTCATGCATCATACCTCATACATTCATACATACACACGTGCATCATGTTTCGACAACACCGCGACGTCGGTTTATAGATGCATGGACCTCTAAGCTTCTCCGATTGGAAAGCTCGAGTCAGAGTCCTTTACTCCCGCCTGATGCATTCAGGGGGAGTGTGCCCGTGGAAGAGCACCCTCCGCCCGACCCTGTCGGGAAGGGGGGTGCCTCACTGGTAGATTACGTTCAGGAGTGCAGACACTCACTCATATATGATGATTATGTGAAGACACAGTTTCCAGCAAGACAGAGGAAGAGCGCAGGCAGAGTATATTTTCTCGAGCAGATTCGCGAGCTCACTACTCAAGAAACTGGGGGACTTGTGTTGGGATATATTATCCCGGCCTATTACTGTTCATGAGTCCAAGGCTTTACGTAGTACGGGGCCCGAGCAGCTAGGCCCATTTCGGCCCATCCGGCCCACTTTAGCCATTTGGGCCCACTCTGGCCCGTTTGGCCCATTAGGGTGGAGAGCCCCTTCTCCCCTTCCCCTATTTATAGGAGGCTTCCCTCCATGTTTTAGGGAGGCTTTTCCTTAGCTTCTTCTTCCTTCTTTCTCTCTAGCTAGCTCAATACTCCATAAATGGAGCTCAAAATGTACTATGTAATGGTGAGGAGAGACTAATGAGAATGAGAGGGCTTGGACATTAGCCTAAAAAGTCCCGTGGTTTTCTCCCTTTCGGGTTTCCACGTAAAAACTGAGTGTTCATACATATATTTACTATATCGTGTTGGATTAAAATCAACAAATAATAATAATAATAATAATAATAAGGGAAAAGTGTCATATAAGCTCTCGTACTATGTCAAAAAAGTCAATTAGATTTTTGCACTTTAAAAACGTCCAATTAAACCATCGAATTTTTAAAAAGACACTCAATTGAGCGAATTAGCAGGTAATCAACCGAGAATTATATTATACACTCGGGTGTACATGTACACCCGGTTTTTAAATGACGTGACAGGCTGAATCATTTGTTCGCTCCCAGTTGCTTTAATTTCTTATTCCGCCGCCATCGCATATAAGCCAGGAGCAAGGCTTCGGAAAATCAAATTCGGTAGTCCTGTTCAAATCTGGATATCAAAGTCACGCACTCATGCCGCCATGATAGTTCGTTTTACACAAGCAGAGCAAAATAATAAACACATACGTTTCCTACATGTTTTCTATAACCTTTTTAATTTTGTGTTTTTGATTTTATGTTTTTCGTTACTTTTGTATTTTTACTTTCTTTTGCTTTGTCTTTTTTCTTTTATTTCATTTAATTTCTTTATTTGTTGTTTCCTTCTTTTTTTGCTTTATATATTACTCCGTAAATACCGAGCATGTTAGAAACGAGTTTTATTTTAAACTCAAATGAGTAAAATGCCTAAATAAAATGAACATACACAAACGAGCTTTTGATTTTTTGAAAAATCATTTTGTAAATTACCATTTAGTACATCTGTTATGCTCATTTTAAAATGTTATATCAATGCATATTACTCCAAACTCCGTTATTGAGTATTAGAATCGTGTGTTTGAGTATCATGATTTGTGGTCTCATCTTGTAAGTTACATATGCTCATTTGTATAGGTTTGATGCTCATTAAAAATTCATTAATGCTCATTTAATAGAAATCATGATTTTCATTAATCTCAATAGAGGAGGTTTGATGCTTAATGAAAATTTCGTGATGCTTGTCGTGAGGTGCACTCAAAATAAATATCAATACGACACTAATACGTAGTATAGCGAAGTAAGGTTCGTATTCACAGGGAAAGGAATATTTCTCTTTTTAATTAACTAGTAACAAAGCGGTTTTTTAGATTTGATTTGATTTAATTAACACTAAGATGAATGACTTAAATGAGTTTAATTAATGAGAAGAAGAATTGGCTTTGCTTTTATCCACTTAATGAAATGTTCGTCGATCCTGGTTATATCTTTAACTATCTTCCTCTCGAATACTCAATCAAGGAGTATATCCAGTTCATCGAGGGTAGTTATTAATAACGAGAAGCGTTCATTAATAAAATTTACTATCGAGTCAATATAGAACAAGCGCCGTATATTAACTTGATAGTAGCAATAAACTTAAGATGAAAACGATTGAGGTTGATAACTTCAACACAAGCGGTTTATTGGTTTAATCAATATAATTAAATCCCCTTGGTTTATTAACCATGAGATGCATGCATTAATCATCCAAGTTTACTACCATGAAAGGACCGAATTAATAACAAGCGTATTAATCGACCGATTCTAGTATTCATTAATATATGAAACAAAACTAGTTGATCCTTTAAGTAATGTTCAAAATATTAATATGAAATATGAAAAGGAATTAATTAATACTCAAGGAAGAATATTAACGAAGATGAATCCTACTATAGTTAATATCAAGATGTTAACTAATTGTCATCTTAGTAACACTCCCCAATATTAACGTAGAGGAAGAAATAATTATTACTATAACTAATGTCAAGATGTTGACTAATTGTCATCTTAGTAACACTCCCCAACATTGATATAGAAATAGTATTTAAAGGAAGAATTAATATTCAAGGAAGAAGATTAAAGAGAATAACTCACAACTTACAAATTCATTAAGCTTCAAAGTAGCAAAACCAAGATGGAAGAGTTTAGCTCCTCATTTGGAGACTAAACATGATAGAAAATATAAAGAAAACACTAATCTAAACTGAGCTAAAGAGTATATGTGAATTGGTTATTTTATTGTGAAGGAAAGGGGTGTATTTATAGGCTTTTGGGAGCTACAGGGTCTGATACCCGATCGGGTATATAGGATACCCGATCGGGTATCTTAGGAAATTGCCCAGAAAGTCACTTTTCTGGGCATACCCGATCGGTTATGTCGGCATACCCGATCGGTTATGTCGGCATACCCGATCGGGTATGTGACAAATCTTCACGAAAATTTGCTCCCACGATCATTTGTTCCCGGATTTGATTTGGACAATCGAATCAAGTGAATATCCGATCGGGTATAGGCAATACCCGACCAGGTACATGAGTATTTTTTCCAAATCGAAATCTTTCTTGTCTCCTTGCACTTTCCTTGATCTTTTAAGGTCCAATCTTGATCCCTTGGATGATCTTTGACCTGTTTAGCTCAGAATAATCCTAATCTAAACAAATTACAAATAAAAATGAAAATAAAATATATATTACACCAAGATTCCGGGTTTCCGGTCCGGTCCGGGTCAAACCCGGAAAAAACAGGTCCGGACCGGAATAGACCGGTAACCTATTGTTCCATAAAATATATACTTCGTTTTGAATCATTAGTCAATTTATATTTGGCTTACTACTATGTTTATGGCTTATTTTTGCCTTTTGTTATATAAACGAATATATACGGAGTGTGTATTTGGTGTCTAATTATTTCCTAAGTTGTTTATAATTTTTTTTATGTAGCAGGTCCTAAGTTTTTTATTGATCGTATAGTAGTTTATATTTTTTTGATTTTTTCCAAATCGCTTTTTATTTGTTTCTTTATTTGTAGGTGTGTGTGTATTTTATATGTAGCATATTTTTTGGACGTAATTTAGTTTTTATTACCCCACAATAAATTTTGCCAATTTAATACACAAAAGATTGTAGTTTTAATTATTGTGGGTACTAATTGTTACGATTGAATAGTTTTGATGACTATATTCCAAAATTAATAAATGAGCTAAACAATTATTTAGTCTATTTAGCATATCCGCATATAAAATTATAGTTTGAAACAACAACAACATCCAAGTCTTATTCCTAAAAAATTTGGGGTCGGCAAAGAACACTCTAAGATAATACTCCGTATGTCTTTTTTTAAAACCGGGTCAATTAGGGTCAAACCTGGACCGGACCGGAAAATTCAGGTCCGGACCGGTCCGGACCGGTTACATTCAGGTCCGGTCTTCGGTCCATAGAAAATGATGATCCCGGTTCCGGTCCTAACCGGATCCGGTCCGGTCCGGTTTTGGATCGGTGCACACCCCTACCCCTAGCCATCCTTAAACGCAGCAGGGAGGCAGAGCACTGAAAACAGTCATTCCCTTTACTCGGCTCTGCACACCTTGCACTGTTTCACGAGTACGAAGTTCCGAACAACGCCTCAAGTCCCCACTCCGCCGTGTCGTCGAAGTCCGGCCGCCGCACGCCCTACAATGGACTCGCCCAGGTTTTTCCCTCTTTGCATATCTTTTTTTAAAAGATTAATTATTGAACTGCCTTTTAAGTTTTAATGTTAGGTTAAATTAATAAATTTATGTATTTATGAATGTTATTTTCAATATTTTACGATTTAGGATGAAAAGATATTTCGATGTTGTACCCAAATTTAAAGAGACTCAGAGTATCGGGAGTAATTCAGGTGTTAATTCAAATGATTCGCCGTTAATGAATGAAGACTTAAATCAAGTAATTGCTGAAAGTGAAGCTAATCTGGCTTATAATCTACCTGGACAACATGTTGATTTTGAATCTCTAGAAGCTGATCCTGGATTGAGAAAGAAATTTACTGATTTTCATCCTAATGTTCCAGATGAGGTACGTCGTAGTTACATTCAAAAAGGGCCATTTCAACCTCGGGATCATGATTTCCCAACATGCATCATTACAAGTATGATTGTTTACATGAGATTGTCAATTTGTTTGTGGCAGAGCTTGAGAGCAGGTTTGATGTGGCATTGTGGCAAGCACTGAGTTATTGCGTTGTGTGTCTTGTTTATGTCCTTCCTCCTCGTTTGAAGCTTTTGATAGGACATCTTTGCTTAAATTGGCAGAATTTTATCTAAAAGAGTTTTCTGATGTTGATCAAAAGATACTCGAAAGTCAGCTTGAGAATTATATTTTAGTAGACCTTTTCGATTGCAATGGTGTCCACAAAGAAGCATCTCACACATCAGCATGTGTATACACTTATTAAGTTATCTCTACTTCTCCCGGTAGCTACAACAAGTGTTGAACGAGCGTTTTCAGGTATGAGGTTCGTGAAGAATGAGTTGCGGAACAAGATTTGCGATCAATGGTTGAATGATTGCTTAGTTACGTATGTTGAGAGAGATGTTTTTGCTACTATTAGTGATGATTCTATTATAGAATATTTCCGACAAATGAAGCCTAGGAGGGTACATCTATAGAATTGTTGAATGCTTTTATATGTAATATTTTTCTTGATAATATTTTAATGTTGTAATGGTACATGAACGTTAACTATGAAGTGTTAAGCTTATTTAATATATTTTTATTAGTTTTATATTAATTAGAGATACAAAGGGAAGGGACCCCATGACTTCGATTTTCTGGGTCCACCACTGTCAGTACCGGATGAGCATTAAAACACTTTCGATGAGCATCATGCTTATTTAGTTGAGTATTAGGAACTTAACAATGTGAATCTAATGCCATATGCAACTTTTAAAATTTGCATGAGTATGAGATTTTAAAAATGAGCATAATATGATTGCAAATTGAACAAATGTAACTTACAAAATGAGTATTGATATGAAAATCATAATTTTTTAAGTTTGTCTTCGAGACATTTTTATTGAGCATCAAACCTTCTCTATTGAATCTAAACATTCAATTGAGTATTATGGTCTGTGCTCCTATATCTATAACCATCTCCTACATGAATCTAAAAAATAAACAGAAACATTGAATACTATTTTATTTTAAAAGTAAACTGAAACATTTAATTGTATTTTATTTTATACATTAATTGAATATAATATTAAAGTAGAAGTTTTCTAAAAAAAGGAGAACAAACAAAAAACAAAAAAAAAAAAAGAATAAACAAATGAAAAGAAAAAAAGGAAAGTACGAAGTGGAAGTGAAATAAGGACAAAAAAACGTACGAAGTGGAAAAGTAAGGACTAAAGATGTGCAGGAGTGGAGCCGTAATTGAAAATTAAAAGGGAGTTACTCCAGCGTCTTAGCTTATCAAAGTTGCAACTAATTGCAAAAATACCGGATGTATACGTACATCCGGGTGTAGGATATATGCACCCGTAATCAACAGGTTTCCCGGTTACCTGCACACGTGGCGGCCCGCGTGGAATAATTGTTTTCTTTTTCTTATTTTCTTTCCTTTCTTTTCGGATTTCTCTTTCTTTCCCCTGAGCTCCTTCCTTCCACGGATCTGGTCACCATGTGCTTTCACTACTATACTTTTTTCTTCGAACTTCATCGCCGCCTGAGAGGAGGGGCAAGCCTCATTTAGCCTCCACCGGTTCTCGAGGGGAGATGTCTGTCGCACGGTGCCGATTTTAGTATGGCCGGTCGGAGTCGCCCTGATCGAATATATAGCGCTGCCGCTTGAGCAACCATTTCCGGTGTGCGCATCTTCCCAGCCAAATACGGCGAATATTGGATACCGAGAAGGTGTCTGAAACCTCAATTTCACTATAATGCCTAATTGACTAATTTAATCCTGAATAAGTACATCAGTTGCTTGTTCCCACTCCTTCAGTCCTTCCCTTCATATAACTGGTGGTAATGTCGCCGGTCACCTTTGCCGTTGGTCACTTGGTCGTCTACGTGGCCACCTAGAGGGAATAGAAAAACATCAGGGAAAGAAAGAGAAAGAAACAAAGAAAGAAAAAGAAAAAAAAAGTAGATTCTACGGTACCCATAAGGTACCGTACCTTTATCCACATGGACCAATCAGAATCATGCAGTTGAATTATTTAAATCTAAATTAAAAGGGATTTAATGATTTGGACCAATCAAATGCATGGTAGGTACGGTACCCCCATTTTTTAAATGGGTACCGGAGTTGTCACAAAAAAAAAAACCAAAATGAAAAGGAAAACAAATGCCACGCGTGCAGGCAATCTGGAGACTGGTTATTCACGTGCAAAACTGCTCAATTGAACATTTTTTGGTAGTATGAGGACTCAATTGAGTGTTTTTAAAGTACGAGAGTCTAATTGACATTTTCGATATAGTACGGGGGCCTATTTGACAATGTTCCCTAATAATAATAGTCGAACACTTGAACAAATAGTCATGTTCATGACAAGACAAAGAATGAACATATAAGTAATCACAAATTTTCACATCATTATTGAATTTTTTTCGAATTTATTATGAATAAAACATTTAATTATGACTTTTTCCTATCTTTTACTCATATTTAAAGGAAAGGTAAGAATGAAAAGAAGAAATATGTATGTTTCCAATAGGACCAATATGGTCCTATTTTGGAATAAAACATAGCAAGTCATATTTTGAGTTTTTATCATAGTTTTAGTCCTATTTGAAGTTATTCATTACTTTTTACATTTCAAAGCTTAGTTGCATTTTACAAAAACATATATCTATTTAAAAGCTACTCGTAAGAAAAGTTGGGAGGAGGTCAGGAGATTAGAGTTCAAAACATAAAAACTAAAAAATAATACTCCCTTCATCGTAATATTATCTTCAAACTTCTCTTTTTCATTTGTACCAAAATTATCTCATATTTCATTTTTTACAAGAATCTGTGGTTCGCAACCATTCTTACACATTTATCTCTCCTCTGCACAATTCTTCACCACACAAAACTCACTATCTTAATTTGTGTTGGATCAAATGGGGAGATAATATAGGGACGAAAGCCGTGGAGGACCTAGGGGGGCCTACCGGGGCTAGTGCCCCGGCTTCCGACCAGGAATTTCACTACTAGTACTTAGGGTAAAATAGGTGCTCATGCTTCCGGTCAAAAATTTCACTACTACTACTTCGGGTAAAATTAGTGCCCCAACCCGTACAAAAAATTATTAGTATTAGATAATCAAGATACTAAAATGTTACGGTTATATAAATTAACAGTTAATACACAATATTTAAATTTGAGTTGAATTAAAATAAAATATATAGAATTCTCAAAAAAGGAGAAAAAGTAGTCAAAGGTTAATATACGGCCAACTAAAAGTAATCTAAAACAAGTGATAAAAGTTTAAAAAAACAAGTTGAAGGACCCAAAAAAAACTATTAGTATTATTTCGGCCCAATACTTATTTTTGCTTTGACTTTATTATTATTACTATTTTTCATTGTAGGTGATTGATCAGATAAGTCTTGAGATGGAGAACCGTTTTAGTGAGTCAAACACAGAATTACTCACTTGTTTAGCATGTCATGACCCTAGAGATAAGTTCTCCAATTTCTGTGAGTCAAAGCTACTGAACCTCGCGGAATTATATTCATGCGATTTTTCATCCGTTGATCGAATGGAGCTGAAAAGGCAACTCCAGGTGTGGATATATGAAATGAGAACAGATGAATTATTTTCTGCCGTACAGACTATTGGCGAAGTTTGCAAAAAGATGGTTGAGCTTAAAGTTCACAATTCTTTTCACTTGGTATATCGTCTGATTGAGTTGGCTTTAGTATTACCAGTTGCAACAGCTACCATTGATAGAGCCTTCTCTGCGATGAATATTATCAAGACAGATCTTCGCAATAAGATAGGAGATGATTATCTTACAGATTGCTTGGTGTGCTACATCGAGAGAGATGTTTTTAGGAGTATCGATAATAAAACTATTATGCAACATTTTCAGAATATGAAAACTCGCAGGCTTGATTTACCAAAATTGCAGAAATGAACTATTTAATACTCCCTCCGTCCCAAAATGGGGGGGTGCAAATCAAATACCGAAATCGGAGAAGAAAAACTGTGACTTGCGTGTGCAGGCGACCTGCGGACACGAATGTCATCCAAAAATCTATCTGCCCAACGTTCAGGTCCATTAATTCACTATTTACACACAACAAATTCTCCTATATAATGGCTGTCGGGTGGTTTGCAACAACACACGTTCATACACATTCCTCACGTATTTCTGAGCTCAAAAAGACCTCCAGCATTCCGAAAATTTCCTAAGTGTTCATATTGTGTTCTCGTTCGCTGGAACTCTTGTTTGTGTGCTCAAACATTAGTTTGAAGTCATCGTATCCTGGGAAACGATTGTTGCAACGCTCCTAGCAACTCTTGTTTGTCTGCTCCATCTTATTTCTGTTTTTCTTTCGTTATTTTAATTAATTTTCTTTATTTTCTGAAACACACCCAACTCAACTAATGGGCTTATTTCTAATTCACCCATCCTCCTATCCGTAATTTTAATTATTCCTGGAAATTAATAGTTCCAACGACAATATGTTTTAGAACTTTTAAAATATTGTTTTCTATCTTCATTATTCTAGAAATTTGAGTACTTGCACTATTAATTTCAAAATTGTAGTTGTTTGACTTATTTTTCATTTTAAATTAATGACTTATTGATATGATTATATTTCGAGGTGCACTAGTGTATATGAGATAAAATATGAACTTATTTCCAAGTATCTTGAAAATGTAAAATGCTTCAATGCATGAATGAGTAGACGTAAGAGGAAAATATATGTCTATTTTTTTCAAAAAAATTGTATTTTTAATATTTATAAAGAAACCCCTATAACTTTTAATATTTATAAATACACCCCCCATAACTTTTAATATTTATAAATATGACCCCATATCCGTATCCTACTTTTGTTTTGTTTTGTTGTATCTCCGTTCTCGTTTCCGCGTTTCCGCGTTTAATCGGTGCTGCACAGTTTACAACCGATTATAGACGGGTTGGAGGCTACGTATACCTTAGGCTAATTATCCCCCGAATTAAATTGGCAACTTTACTAAGAATTACTGTTGAAATAGGAATGTGTGGAAATACTTCCAAAAAAAATACTTCCATCTACATACTCCAATAATGGTTTCTATTGAACAGAAACAATTTTAAGAAATAGATCTAAACAACCCTAATTGTAACAATGTTCTCATACTATTACACTTAGAAACCGTTTGGCAACACTGTTTTTCGGCTTATCAGGTTTATTAGCCAACTTTTCGCCAAACACGCAACTTTTGCTTTCACGCGATGAATTGTGTAATAAGCAGAAAAAAGTAAGGTCGGAGTTACTTTTCTGGCTGTATTGGCTGAAGTTACTGTAGATGACTATTTTAGCTATTTTTACATATAATTTTTTCTTTATTTTATTAATAAAATATATTTTAAAAATAATTTTATCCTAAATCAGCAGAATCAGCCAATGCAGCCACTTCAGTCAATATTTCATAAATTTCAGTAGAATCAGCCAAATCAATCGATTTTCGTGCTACCAAACGAGCTCTTAGATGTTCGTTGGTTTTGCATATTTGTGTGGGGTGCAAGTCTATGCTCAAATATC